TTGTGTGTGTGTGTGTGTGTGTGTGTGTGTGTGTGTGTGTGTGTGTGTGTGTGTCTGTGTTAATATGCGTGCCGAGGCTCTTCAACGCTATCGATCCATACCAGTCTATACAATAGGTACGAGGTTGCACAGGCAGAAGTTGATGTGTAGCAAGAACAATAGTTACTCTGTTGTGAATTATTTCCGCTAGATTCTAGTAACTTTTTATTTTCGCCATGTATACAACTATTTTTAAACTGATTCGACATGTGAGTATGGATGTCTCATTGTGCTTTGTTGTTCTGAATAATTAGATAGTCTATTTTGATTTGTGTAAAAAAAAAGGTTTCAGTAATCCGGAGATTAATTATTCGATTTTAGCGGTGTACTGGTTATAGACTTTTCCTGGAGGTTGTAGAAGTTGTAGTTCCATCCCTACGTGGGGAAGTCCTTTGTATCAATTGCCTAAGTCTGTATCACTGGTTTGTTGAATCTCATTTAACTCGGGTCGGCCCTGTCTCGTAGGGATACAGTTGCAACCTCCCCTTTTAAGAAAGACTGTATTCTGTTTATAAATCCACCACCAAGAACAGAGTGCTTCTTCATATAAACGGCTGGTTGTCCTTTCCACATCTATTTATATCATAAGGCAAACAAGTTTATATATGTGGATCAGTCCGCTATTTCTTTTTTTGTTGGTGGTGTTTACAGAATTGTTAAGGCAAAAAACGTAATGGCATATATATGGGATTGTAACTTTTTTAAAGGACAGTAAATGCTTTACACTTCCATAAAAATATGCACATGTTAGATTACAATTAGGACGCAGGCTTTTTTTATCCTGCTTGTCAGGACCAACTTGATTTGAGCTGGATAATATTTCGACATCAAAACTGAGAAGCTCGTTAAAAAAAGTCTTCTTCACGCGGGGATCAAACTCATATTTTGTGGGTACTGGCGAAGAGCCCAACAATTACATCACATAATAGGTCAGGAGGCGTATGCTTGATGTAACTTAATCTTGGACGAACTGACAAACAGTAGCTAATATAATTTTCGTCACTACATCGTTAATCTTCAGATTTTTTCTTCGCTTCCTAGGAGGAGTGGGAGGTTATCGGGTTATCTGATATGGTTTTTTCCTTCTTCCCTAATTTATATCTATCGTCCTTATCTCTGCTTCTTTTTTGTGTTTGTTACACTTGTAATATTTCAAATCTTTGGCACATAATTATATTATTGTTACCTAATTTTATTGCTAGCTCCGTATTACTCTTTCATGAACAAAGCTAAGGACGGAAAAATGACTGTTTCTTGTTCTCTGAAAAAGCACTAACTTTTAGTAATCAAATAAGCGAGATGGAAGAGACACCCAAGAAACTGATGTTCTAACCCTTTTATCCTTACTGTCTCTTATTCAACTATCGATACTCCGAGTAATTCCTTTCGCCATGATTGCCGACTGTGACTCATACAGCAAAGACGTCAGTCGAGTTCGAGAATGGAACGATATTATGCTTAATGCCCGGCGGGTTTTGGTTAAGAGCATTAAACTGAATTGTTGCAAAACGGATTAAAGAAAATTTAATTCAAGAGTGTTTTTGTGAAACGTGATTGAAAAAGTCATGGATTGAGAGCTTTGAATGACATCTCGTGAGGTTTTACACTTGGCTGTATACCTTGTACAATATTGCCACAAGGATATTTAACAAAGCCAGTGATTCAGGATTTATAACATAGGTGTTCAAAGGGATTCGGCCTTGAGGTGCAAGCGACGATAATCCCAGCTGAAACATAAAGAGATGCGATGCTGTGACAAACAGTGGCGTGCTTGCGAATGATATAGAAAATATATTTCTTATTGATCACCCCGAAAAGAAATCAACAGTGCGGTTTCATGGGATTCTGCGGTACGGAATATTAATACACAAGTGAGTGCATATGTGGCACGACACGGGGGATTCAGGCTCTCGTCAATTTTTTGGCATTTGGAGTTATTGGTACTGTCTTAAAACCTGCTCATTTGCCTAACTCTAGATGAAAGAATTATGCATTTATCTTGAGTACATGTCGAGATATTTGCGATAGAATGAAGCGAGGGTTGCCTGGTTTCAGAGGTAAGATTAGAGAGAAAATGGCCGCCAAAGTTTGGTTATTTACATAGCCTCAGAGTCCGAGGAAATTAAATCAATATACATTGTGTTGTGCCTTTAATCAACGTTTTTCAATACAATTCACACTAAAAATGGTTTCTTAGATGGACATAGAAGGTGTTGAGTTAAAAATCAAAATTTCGATAAAAATTGCCAAACCAGCGGAAAAGTGTTAGTTTATTTACTTTCATTATTTTGACGAGCGCCTGTTTTCACCACGCTGCCTCACATATGAAGTAGCATATCAGAACATCCCCCCCCACCTTCCATCTTCTTACTGACTCTGTCTCTGTCTCTCTGTCTTTCTCTGTCTTTCTGTCTCTCTCTCTCTGTCTCTCTCTGTCTCTGTCTCTCTCTCTCTTTCCAAAACAATGTATACTATTAATAATGTGTACATAATTTATGTAACATAATGTATAAACGATTTTTCTTTCTGTTTTCATCTGTAGGAGGAAGGCAAGATGAAATTACCCCTGAGTACGTGATACGTGTGCACGTCTGAGGTTGATCTCGCTTCAAGTCACGTGAGCAGAGGGGGGAGAGCCGATCGGGGTTCCAAGTTCTCCCGAACAGTTCCGAGAGCGATGCAATTCATGACGTCATTGTGGCTGTGCCTGGTGTGCATGGTAGCCCTGATCCACCTTACCAAGGCTATGCCTGAAAGGTTACGCATAGGTGAGTGAAAATTGTAATTCGCTATTTCAGAATTACAAAATTCTATCTGACATTTTGGGCCGTTTTGAATTACTAAGATCATGCGGTCAGAAACCAATTAAAATGTTCGCTCTGTTCTTTCAAAGTAGTTACAATATTCTGAGTCGTTATCAAGATATTCACACATTTTTACATTTGAAAAAGCTTGACCTAATATTGTGGAACTCCAAAAATTTTAAGTTAAATTAATCATAACTAGGTATTGAGCTAATAATAATTCATAATTCTAAGGTAGCGAATTGTAAATAGTAGGCGTTTGGCTGGTGCTCTGGTGTGGTTTGCTCCTTCTTTCCTACCCAACATCTATCATCCGTATCTCTTGTCCTTCTTTTTTGTGTTTGTTATTCTCTTGTAAAATATGTCATTGTGGGCACTTATTTGACCTAATGTGGTTGCAAGGGCCGTAAAACGCAGGCATAAACTATTAAAATGCAAATAGGCCATTCCATGCTTCCTATATCACCTCATTGATATTACGTTTGTAGATGCTTATCGATAAATTTGAAGTAAATGATTGATTAGAAGATAGAGGAAAGTTGCCTTAAAAAAGCAACCCCCCCAAAAAAAAATTTTAAAAAATAATTACATGACAATAAATGCTCTTCCACTGCTAAGAATATTTTTTAGCAGGTCAGCATCTGCGTTACATCACTACAGTTTGTCTTTGCATGGCGTTGCCCAAATATAGATGATTTTTATGTTTCCATACACACAATGTAGACATTTTGGAGATTGCCTGCTTCTACCCTGCCTTTTGGGGTCAACCCAGACAGAGAAGAATACAACATCTCTGCAGCGAGATAGAGATAGTTATATTAAAAAATGAATAGAATGAGCAGTAACATTCAAAGAAAAAACAACAACCAACAACAAGGACAACAACTACAACAACAATAACATCAAACAAACAAATCCCTACATGGGAATTAACGTGATGTTGTCTACATGCTAAGACGAAGTGACTATCTGTTGTGCCCATAAGTTTGGTGCTTTGTGCGTTTTATATTAATTGTCTTGTAATAATGCCAGGGAAAAACTATATTCCATTCTAGCATTCACTAATAATTATAAAGGAGTAACACTGCTTCTTTTAAACAAAAACATGTGACAAAATATTGTTAAACAACATATTTTTAAAAATTATTAGACTTTGCCATTTCAAATTCATACAATAACACGTTTTAGGTTTAATTTGGAAACTCCATTACATATTAAAGTTTGATTTTAGGCTTTGATTTTGGTTTCCTACTACACACGCGCGCACACACACACACACACACACACACACACACACACACACACACACACACACACACACACACAAACACACAGACCCACACAAACATACACACACATACACATACACGCTTACACACACGCAAACACAGTTATATATACAGTTGCACACATGTGGATATTCATTGAATGGATATACACCATTTTGCTATCCTTGCATTGGTGTTTAAGGAGAAAAAGAAGTTATGTTTTGAGAAACATCATGCCAAGATTAGGCAGAAATGAAAAATTTGAGATTAGTATGAACATGTCATTCAAAATTTAAAACTGTTTCAGCTAATCGCTCTTCTTGAATATCAACATAGCAGTCTGTAAAACTGGATTAAAAAAACAAAAAACAGCAACTGAAAAACACTTGTCTGCTTGTCTCCACGGTATACTACAACACAGCGACTGTGTATTGTCTATAAACGACGACGATAAAAACCAATGCTCTGTTTTGGTTGGTACCAATGCAGGCCGTCAAACTCGTAAATCACTACTCGATCTCAAAACATTCCTGATTTCATTGCGTTCGTACATGGGCTCCTTGGTATCAACGCGTTGGCGACGTGCGCTTAAAGTTATGCTATACATGTGATTATGCCATGCTCCGTCACAGTGTCCCAATACGTTTGTCCGTTGGATTTCCGTAAAGAACTGAGTATAATCTCTGAGAGTGAGAATTCTTGGCTTTCAACCCATTTCTCTGCTCCGCCAGGACCTCCATAACCTCCGTTCTGAAAAGCGCTTTCACAGAGTCGCAGAAAATACTTACTTTAAAGACTAAGGTATGCCATGTTTATTAACCTGAAGCGCCATTCAGTAAACAAAGCAGTAGCATTGGTTTCATTTTCCAACGTTATAAAGTAATCAAATGACTGTTTACCATGGTCAGACTTATGAACCTTTATTAGCAGTAACAAAGCAATTCGAAAAGATTACAATTGTTTTAGCCTTCATAGACTAATATTAAACCGTATTGGACATGACTGCCTCGACTCTTCTTGTCAGCAGAATTAGCTCTGGCTGGATATAGCATCATGTACGTAAGTAAACACCTATTCAGTGTGGGAATCGAACCTATGTCTTCTGCGTGTAAAGATGATGAAGAGCCTAATCAGCGCAGGAACTAGAATCCAAATAGAGTGGGATCGGTGCATATCTAAACCAAGAACATGAGAAAAAAGACAATTATTTGAACAGAAAATGAAAATGTCTCATTAGATTGATGTCTACACTCTGCCATCAGTTCGTGGGTGAGCCGTGGTGTACACATACTCCACCGCGTTGTCTCAGCCCGTTGAGACTACAGGACAAAGTACCAGTGCTAAAAGACAATGTAATATTTAGCGGAGAAGATGAACAAATACAGTGAAGAGTCACACCGAGCCAGTCTAAGAGATGTTTGGATTTCTCAAGAAAGTTGTCTTGCAAACTTGAAAGAACGAATTTTTTTTTTTTAAACTGAAGGGCTACACAACGTTACCTCACCCCCTTTGCCCCCTCCTCTGGGCTCCTGACTCTTTCTGCAGCCTTTCTACTGCTACTCCTTGGCTCCTCCTTACTGCTGTCTTTCTGC